GCACGGAAACACGCCAAGCGAGAGAAAGAGAGAGAGAGAACGTGTAGATCGGGCACTCACATCTCGCTACCCATATCGCTCCAGTCTCCAAAAGATAGAGGAAGAGCATGCGACTCTTGAGATAGAGAAAATACCGAGAAGTTGGTTGAACGAATTCCGAGTGTTATATCTTTTTAGAATTCCAGCTTAATTTTTGGATTAAAAATAGTCAAAAAACATTGAGTTGAATTAGAAAGTTTGAGAAAAATGTACCTTTTTCGCGCGGGTGAAATGTTTCCTTTCCAATAGGTCCAATTAAGTACGTAATTGAGTTGTAACCGGAAATCGAGACAATTCAATTAATAGTCTGAAAGATCGAACACAATGATATCGACGAAAGAGACATCAGTTACAGGGTGTTCGAAAATTTCCTAATGATCTACAGCGCAAGCTTGCCGCCATGATGGACAAGAGGCAATTCATACATCTCAAAGTTTCGAAACCTATTAAAAAATTTCTTCCCAGTAGTAGGAACCTCCCGAAGAGAGAGAAAAAAATCTTCCTCGGATAAAAAGATAAAGAAACACTCGGAAAAAAATTAACCGACCGTCCACGAGATTAAAAGAGAGTGGGAGAGCGAGGGCTAAAAAGTAAAAAGGCGCGGCGCGGCATATAAGCGAGGTCCTCTCAAAAAGCGAGCTCAAAGCTCATCCATCATCGTCATTTGTCCCTCCCTCTCTCTCTCTCTCTCTCTCTCTCTCCTTCTTTTACGTTCCTTTTTCTACTAGTATGTATGCTCCTCCCTTGCGCCGCCGCCATAACGAATTTTCGAGGGAAACGTGTATAATTACCCTTGACAAACCCGGATGGCTAATTAAAGGGGGGAGAGGGAGCTTGGAAAATTTTTTTTAGAAAATCGAATATACGTCGCTGCTTTTCTTTTCTTGCAAGTAGAAGCGAAGCTGCGGGCAGATGGCGGAAGATGTGATTTATGTGCGAGCTCTTACGCGTCTGTCGTTGAAAAATCTCGTCGCGCTATGAAGAGAAAGAGAGCTTGCCTTCTCTTGGTTTCCGGTATTTTTGGAAGTACCGGCTGCACCATTGTTTGCTTTGGAAATGCCATTATTTTGTCGGTAAACATTCTCGTGGCACAAATGATATTTCAGTTGTGCGCTACTGCGAGCAAGAATATTGCGATTAATTTACACTGATACATGCGCGACGTTTATTTATCAAAAATAAAAATGGCGATGCTTTTCAATTATGAAACTTATATGAGCTTTAAATGCGCGTATGCGGACCGATGATATATTAAATTCGTATATGGAGTGCGTTAAAAAAATACCTACTATATATCACACGCGAGAGAAGCTTTTTGAGTGAATAACGATAATAATAATTGCATTACGATTCTTGTGCACATTACAAGCGTCAACGAAATTAAAAAAAAATAAATTGACAAATCGTCCATGCGATGTTTCGCGATTTCGACGTGCGAGTAATAATCAATCTCAATTCGGCAAGTTAATCGGCGTGTGAATTGCCGATAAAATTGATCGAGGAATGCGCGAAAACATCCACGTGTTAACGGTAGCCACGATCGCTTAAACTTTGCGCCGTACACCAATATTTATGAGAGCGCGGCCACAAGGCGGTGCCATAAATCTCGTATATACCGAAGCACATCGCAATTATCTCGCACATATTAAAAGCACCGTTGCTTTTTGCTGGCGGGCCTCGACAAGCGCGCAAGGCCCTTGCCCTTGTTTATCATTTCTTCTCATTTGGTCGGTGCGATGACTGACAACGCATTCATTGATCAGGAAAAATTGAAAATCTGTTCGGAAATCAAATGAGAAAGCCATATCAATGCCGTAGCTTGCAGATTTGTTTTGATAACAACGCCGCAAAGCTACAAATATGTTTTTCGAGCGCATTGCGATCCTCCGTATTCGTTACGAATTATTTAAGTGATTTTTATAAGAAACACGGTTGTTTCATCAAAAAAACTACGTCATTTTTATCAATAATTAATTTACCCTGATGGATTTGAAAACATATATTTACAGTAAAACACCGATTATGCGCATTTCATTCCCAATAAAGCTAAGTTATTCTCCAAAATGAAAAATATTCTTATTAATAACGCAACGAATGTACGGCAATTAATAATAAAAGATGCAACAGTTGGGTGTCATTAATATTCTGTCTACTAATTCATATAGCGTGCACGATGAATTTGAAACTGGCGTGTTTTAGGACAAACCTTTGAAATGAACCTTAGAAAGACATTGTTACTACAACTTGATCATACACGAGCATATACATATCTTTATTCCTATGAAAATGTTATTCTGGTTCCACTTGTGTTACAATTTTCAATTTAAGCAAAACGTATACAAATTCGAGAAATATCAGTAATGAGCAAAATTTAAAAATGTTGACCTTAACGTACGAATATAGTAAACCTCGTTTAAACCTTTATTAATCATGAAAATTCTTAAAGTTTTCTGAAAAAATATCAGGGCTTGTTACTTAAAGTATAGCCTAACAGAATGATTCCCCATTGTATCGCTCATGTATATTTGCTCTGGGTAATTGCTGTTTTTAAACGAAAAATACTGAAACTTGCAACTACAGACTAAACACCATGAGTTCTCGTGTATTATCCGTTCTCACAGGCTCGTACCATTTTTGTATTATTCATGCCTCAGAGATCAATAAGGTGAACAACGCACTACACCCTGCAATATTTCATGTAGTTAAACGATTTCATCGAAAAATTAGGATATCACATGTCACGCCCGAAGTTAAGTGAAACATTTATCCACTGTTCGTGGATAAGAAACAACGAAAAAAAACCAGAAAAAAAATAATAACGAAACCCGTGGCTTCTCGTCGTGGCGGACAAGGTGCCGACATCTGTGAGTTGAGTCCGGAACCCGTTGGTCGTCTGACGTGCGTTCGACTGGCAAAGGAGCTCGAACCGGACTGTTATAAAACGTGTTCACGTGTCACGAGAGCACGTGTATATTCTTCAGCCTCCCCTGCGGCTATCGGTCCTGCATCGACGATCGGCGCTATGTAATACAAGAGGAACGGGGCCTGTTGATTCCGATGGTTACCGAGAGATGGGACCAGTACATAATTACGAAAATTTTTTCTTTTTTGAGCTTTTTTTGAGTTTAAAAATTCTTTGCCCATATCACGATAATAGTTTAGGATTTTTCATATTTTTGGTCACCTTTTAGTTTATTTATCACTTTTAATTAATGTCATTATTTCAATTTCATGTTTTTTCTATTAAAATTTTAAACAAATAAATTACACTTCACGAGACAACAAATAAATTATTAATTAATAATGAACCTAATCACCGTTAATAGTCTGAATTTGACATAAAACTGTAGCTCACGTAATGTCCGACGACCACTAAAACCAAACGACGACTGAGCTATTAAACACCGAAACTGCAAACGCTAGTCTCTGTACCTTCGAGCGCGGAAGTGTCCTTGACGTAACCCAACCCATTACGCAGGTTATACCTAATTTTCCACGCGTTATTGTAAGCTGCGAAACTGCATGGGAGGAGGTTCAACCTGTGCCTACCTTGTTACACGTCGAATAAATTACAGCCCTCGGTCTATTGTCGCTTGGGTTATAGATGCCATAAATCGCCGTTGCGTCGTCGTTCGGGTTTCGCTGCGTGCTGCGTATACATTGTTGAGGACTTCCGACTGAGCTCGTAACCCGAAAAATGTAATGTCCTAGAGAATGGAAGAGTGAAGATCGCTGATCGATGTTCCGGATAGACGATATAGTTCGTTAATGGCGATATAGATAAATATTTAATGATTCCGCCGATAAAAGTTTAATTTAATGCTTTTTTTTAGTATCAATAGAAATTGTAATTAGACGATAAAAATGTAAAAAAAGTAAATGATTTACTGCTGCCTATGAAAATTTCAACAAGATGATCAATCAAGATCATGAATCTCAGATAATTAATTAAGGCCTGCTTGTTCAATTAATTCGCCAGTATATTTTCAATTAATTTATGACTGTTTGCCGACACAGAAGTGAATTTGCAGTTATGCTAGCAACGAAAAAAAAAATCATAGACATATAAATCGCAACGTTGTACAAAAAGCTTTAAATAAAACATGAGAATTCACAGTAAAACCTATCCGCGACGAGCTTCATTCAATATCCAGCACACGCGAGCTGCCTCGGTTATGTTACGTAAACAACAATTTACCCAGCAGAAGCTAAAAAAGAGATAAGCATCGGCGAGTTCTCGCGCGCACTCAAAAACTCGCACACCGCGATTTGCATGCATACGCGCTATCGCTAAAAATTCAACGCTCGACAAGTAAAAAAATCTGGCATCACTTATATACGCGCGGAATGCGTTATGTATCCTATATATGCGGGCAAGCTGAAAGGTCAGGGCAATAAATAACTCAAGACTCTCTCTCTCTCTCTCTACGTTGCGCGGCGAGTACGTAGACCACGGCGGGTGCGTGTGTGCCTAGAAAACTGGAGACATTACGCCTATTTCTGGCAGTTATATCGCTCGCCATAGCACATTTTCCTTACGGCGGACGCTCTAGTTTTCAGTGCGAAATTGCATAAATCCAAAAGCCACATGGGCCTGCCGCGCTTATTGCTTTAGTGGCTATAACACGACACGTACTAGTTTGCCTTATGTATGTGTGTGCGGTGTGCGCCCTCACGGATTTTCGGGAATTCCCGGCTCGGTGGAAATTCCGCTCACGTACCTTCGCGCCCGCTCACTATAAATCTTGACTGCGCGTAATAAATTTTCATATTTTGCGGATTCATTGTTTCGTCATGTACAATAGATTCAATGTGTGCTCCATTATGCGGAAAGAGATCAAAATTGTGTTACGAGCTTGTTAACGACCGAGTCGACCATCAATCATATTTATCGGCAGATTAGTACCGATGAATTTGTTCGGACTTTGATCCGTTGAATTGCCGAGCACATCGAAACTTACCAAACTGACTTCTCATCCAGGGGAAAATGGGACTCGGCAGATTCGTGGGCGCGGCATTTTGCGGCGTGCCGGGCTGCTGCTGTCCGAGTGGCGAGGCTACGACAGCCTGGTGCTGCTGCGCCTGAGTCTGCTGCTGCGGGTGCATGCTGGTGGGCTGCGACTGGTTCGGCGGCGTCTGCTGCTGGTACATCATGTGCTGCTGCGTCTGCTGCATGTGTTGCTGCTGCTGCTGATGTGGCGGCGGCGCTTGGCTGGCGGTTTGCTGCTGCTGAGCCTGCTGAGCATGCTGTTGCTGGGACTGCATGTGCGCGTGCTGCGGGTGCATCTGGTGGTGCATGGGCCCGTCGACGAGGGGCGGACTGTCGGGCCCGTCGAGAACGCTACCCTGGTGATCAACCGCCGCCGCCTGCAGCTTGCAGCTTGCGTAGACGATTGGGGTGGACTGGTGGCCGTTGACCGGCGTCGGCGTGTGGCCCATGTGGCCGACCATGCCGCCAGAGGTGGGCGAGTTGGCTCTGTAGCCGGCCATGTCCAGGCCGTGCTCCTGCTGCTGCTGCTGGTAGTAGGCGGCGTTGCGTATGTCCATGCGGTCGTAGGGTGGGAAGCGCGGGTAGGGCATGCCAGGCTGCTGGCCGGTGGCGGCGCTAGCGTAGTGGTGTCCCGGCACCCCGGCGCCGCGGCCCAGCAGCCCGGGGTCGCCGCCGCACTGGTCCGCCTGGGGCCCCCCCTGCACAGACTGCTGCTGGGGCACCTGGACCGCGGCGCCGTAGTGCTGCTGGTGCTGATGCGGATGCTCCACCCCGCCATTGCGCAGATCCGGGATGTACGAATTCGCGAAATACGAACTCATGCTATGGCTATGTGTGTGTGGCTGCTGCGGCCAGTCACTCGCGCACTCCTCGTCTAACAGTTTTAGGCTGTTTTAGTTACCCGGGGCTACGTGGAAAACACTGCACACACACACACAACACTCTCGTCGCACAAGCTGCAAGCTCTCCTCAAGCTCGCTCTCTCAGCGCTCGCCCTTATATGTATACTTCTTCGCCCTCCTCCTGTTACAATTACGTATTTTTTTCTTTGTTTGTACTCTTGTTGCGGCTGCTTGACTATTGGATCCTCTTGCGACCGAAGCACGCGCACTCGACAACACACAACAAACTTATTACAAATTTTTGTATTCGCCTGCACTCAGGATTTATCTCATACCTCTCTCTCTCTCTCGCTCTCTCTCTCTCTCTCTTTCTCTCTCTTTCGTTCTCGCTCGCTCGCTCGCTCTCAATGGACACGACACGTGTATAATTTATATATACTTTTTTATTTATACTCTTTCTCTATATATACTTTTATATATATACCTATCACACTGCGTTGCTGCCGATCATCTAAGCAATGATCATTTGATTTATATCACACTGGGCTCTTTTTTTATTTTAAACTTGTTACTCGATAATCTTCTTTCGATTTTTGTAAATCTCACCGCACTATACGTAACAACAAAAACTGGGCAAAAATCATTGGAGAACTGGGAGCACACTGTAGACAACGTCGACTATCATTTGCACGCGGGGAATCATGTACAGTTGCGATTGGCTATGTGTGCGCTTGTGATGCGAAACTCGACAAGAAGGGACGTCGTCTCGTGGAGTGGTTTTTTGGTGGATGTGTGTGTAGATATCTAATAGTAGTTAGTAGTAGGTAGTTATAGTCAGAGCTCCGCGGTCGTTGATATTGCTGCGCTTGTGATGGGGTCGTGGAGGAGCTCAGCGCTCGCTGCTCCGCAGGCGTGACGATGTGCCTCTATCCAGCTCGCTGACGACGCTACGCCGCACCTGTAATAACAACAACACAGAGGTTCACATTAGTGTCTGACACGAAAGTTGGCTATTGGGAGCATTGTTTTGCGATCAAAGTGCATACGACCGGGAGCTAATTAAAAGTGCTAGTATATCGCTACGATCTGCCCGACGACGGCGACGCTTGGCGCCGTCAACGACTGACTGCAGCCTCCTCCGTGTGCCGAGTGACAGACTTTGAGAGAGAGAAAGAGAGAACGAGAGCAAAGGGGTACTTGTGCACATGGTCTCTCGTTCTCGTCATGCTTTGAGCCATCGTCAAAGACGCGGCCTTGTGTTTTGAAAACCGGCCGCGCAAGCGTCGGCTGCCGTACGGTTCCGCGTCGCTGGACTTGAACGATCGTTCGGTTTATACGCGTTCGTAGGAGGAAACAACAAAAACTGCGTTCTGGTGACGACCCCCTTTCCATCTTTTTATTTCTTTCTTTCGAGAGCGGTAATGAGAGACAGGGTTTAACCATTACTGGCTTGCTACGCATCATTTGAGCGCGCGAGGGGGAAGCCTGGCAACTTGTACGCAAACATTTTTATCAATCGTCTGTTTTTGCGTTAAAATTTTTTTGTAGTTATGAGACAACGGTCATAAGTACGTGTGAATATTAAAAATCGGACAAATCAAAACTCATCGGAGAAAGGAAGAGGGCAGAGAACTTTTTTGTTCATTGATTACGCTCCTCCTCTCCGATAAACCACTTAAGCGCATGAACTTTTGTACTTGAGAATCAATATTTTATTTAATTATTAGTATACAAATGGAAGCAACATAAAAATTCTGCCCTACCGACTGTTGGGACTTGGACTGTGCTTATAGAGGCATCCTTCGATCTACCGGCCCTGCAGGATTCGGAACTCTCTCGATATAATAGGACGCTACAAAGTTGAAACTACAGTTTTCAAAAGGATCGCTTAGCTTGTGACGATCATTCGCGTCAATTGTAAAAAGATAGAAAATCACAAGCACATTGGAATGTTAACGCGAGACGGCCGTAAAAAAAGTATTATCGGTGAAATTATCAGTGCACAAGGTGTAAAGAAAAGCAGAGCACACGAGGGCGCGCGCGCACGCAAAAAGAATTGAATACGCCGAACGCGATAAAGTCGAAAAGTCCGAGACAAGCCATAAACAAGGCTCGACGTCGAGAGAGCGAGAGCGCGCGCGAACCCGATGAATTGAAAAGGACGATAAGCCGGCGCGTGAAAATTGAATGCCTCTCTGCACACACGTACACCGTGCCATTGTCGCGCGAGGAGTGAGAAGAAGGTTTTGCGCGGCAGATAAGCGTGCAAGTTCTGCTGCTGCGAATATAGAATATAACGATCACGTGCGCACACTGGTTACACGCGTCTCTCTCTCTCGCACGCACACACACACACAGAGAGTCGAGAGACAGAGAGAGAGAGAGAGAGAGAAAGGTTTTCGGATGGGATGGGTAGAGGGAAGACTCGAGGGAGTTGGTAGAGGGGCGATCGCGATTAACATTCCAAGCGCTGTTCGCGCTATATAGCAAGCCCCGAACGCCACTGCCGCCCGCACCGCTTTCATTAATTCCGGCGTATTGATTCCAAAGCGATTGATGAATGGCCGCCGATAGCGATTCTACGCGCAGGGCTTGAGCTGATTCAAGTTCCTGCGTACAAATGCTCCTGTTCTCCGGAATTCCTAACTCTATTCAAGATGTAAGTAGGCCTATTGCTTCGTGAGCAAACTGTCGCCTTTGTATTTCTGAGGTGAGACAAAAGAGAGACAGAGAGAGCGACTTCTTGTTAAGGTATTATTTCTGAGGGTTTACCGGCAAAACTGCGGTTCTTAATTGCTCATGGAAATTTAAATCATTCAGCAACTTTCATTTACAATTAAAAATTATAGGAAAAATTTTATTTCACAACAATTAAATAGTTTATCATTATTTCCATTTTGATATCTGAATAGAAAATGAAGAATACTTTAATTAGGTTCTATTATCAATGGAAGTAAACGTCGTAGCAAATTAATTGAAGAAATAAGTAATGAGGCAAAGATTAAAAAACAACGACACTCGCTCTACAAATGTTTCACTCTGGTCAGATATCTCGCGCAAAACACGTGTCGTAAATAGCACCGCCAACGAACTATAAGTGTAGTAGCAGCCTGCAACCACTGAGAAATGCTAATCGTATACATCGTATACATTGCCGGTTTCGAAAAGAGACACCATGTAGATGAAATTGGGCCTTGTCGAGTGGCGGCATCGGCAGGCGAGCGGCCAAAGCCCTGCATTAACTTTAAAGGATTTGGATACTTCGACGTGCACTCGACAGATGGCGAGAGTGATATCGGCCCCTTTTTCGAAGGCAACGCCAGTGGCAGAAGAAAGAAAGAAAAACGAATCGGGGTGGAGCTCGCTCGCTGGCTGTTTAGAGCTTGACAGCTGGGTGGGCCTCTGCTCCTAAGGTGATTGAAAAGAGGGTGGAGTCACGTGACGCCATAGCTGAATATGGGCGCTGACGTCACAATGATGGCCTCTATTATGGCCACGAAATCTCAACGTATATATATATTTTTGTCCCCACCCTTTTTTTTGAAGACCATGAAGTCATTCTCAACACCGATGCAAACTGGCTATGACGATATTTTTGTATTGTAATATATCATTGTGTAAGAGCTTGCCGCGTCTGTATTATTGAGCTGTTAACTTGATTTTGTTATTACTGGCGGTGTATTAATTCTAATCTGATTCAATATTTTGTTTTGCGTTGTCAAACCGTGTATATAGATTTTTATCTTTCAACGATAACTAATGTCGACAATTGAATAACAATGATAAAAAACTATTAAATTTTATAAATTTAATGTATTTAAAAAATAAATTGAATATAAATTGAAATATTTGAATTAAATTCAATTTAAAAAGACAAAGTATCAAATTAAAAAAACTAAATAATGAAAAAATTTCCATTAAAAACATTTTACGCAACGATAAAAACATTGTTCAATGCGCAATTGCATTGTTATTTCAAAGTAATGCAAACACTTGACATCTTACTGAATTCATCGTACACATTCCAACTGTAATAACGATGACAGCGAATGAAATGCCATAATTCACAGGAGAAGAATATACTGAGTATATATCAAAGGGGGCGCGCATAAAATTAATCTGCGATCTAAACGAGGTTGATAAACCTTATACTCGTGCTCGACATACACGTATATACACACACATCGGTAATTAAAATCCGCTCAATCGTCGCAAACGTGCGAAGGATGCCGCTCGTTGTTTGATGCTCATAAATCTCTTTCTTGGAATGATGCTCTCTTACTCTTGTGGCGTTTTATTAATCATAAAGATATTTAACGCCTGCGTGTGTATGTGCAGAAAAGAAGAAAGAAGAAGAGAATTGCGGAGCAATGTTATGGCGCCAAGTTCGTAAATAACAGACGACAGAGAGAGAAACGAAGTATGTGCTAACGGCCATAAAGCAAGCACCTCGTAAAGTAGCGGGACACACATGGAGGAGGTTAAAAAGCACGTGACTTGGGCTACGGGCACGTCGTGTCTTTTTAGCCGCCGCGGCGCAAGGGGAATTCCTTATCCTGCGCTGTCGGCAGTGCACGCACGCCGTGACCTTGGATCTCTTCCCCCCCTTATCCTTGTAGTCGGCTTTTTGGAAGATAGACCCGCACGCTTGCGCTGCCGACGACGATGGCCACGACCGCTGCATACCGCCCATGTGTGCCGCTGCAGAACGTGAGTGTTTTCCGTTTTCATTTTTGTTTCAGTACGTTTCTGGACTTTTTTCTCTTTTCAGGAGCTTCCTTTGCTACTGTGAGCTTGCACAGCTTCACTCTTTCGCTTCAGTTTTTTGAACTTATCGATGTTTGTTTGAATGTTATGTTGCAGTGAACGTAATTGCTTTCGAGTGAAAACATGCGTTCGAGCGTTTATCGATAATCTAATTGCCCAAAGTACGCACGTTGACTGACGACAGTTTACGAGATACAAAATAAAGCATTATGAATGGCTCGATAATATCGCGAACAAAACCGGCTTTTTTAAATTAAAAGCTATCCACAAATTATTAGAAAAACGTGAGAGAAAGAGTAAAATTATGCGTTAACTATCGTGAAAAACAAGTAATATGCCAATAAAGTTCCATTGATGAATGATCGAAAAATCGGGGCAAAAATATCGGGATAATAGATACAGAAATTCAAGGCAGGAAAAAGCTTGTGGTGACATAACAGTTTCTCTCTCTCTCTCTCTCTCACTCTCTCCCTGGCACGTAGTGGCGATATTTCACGAGAAGAAGCTCCAATCCTCTTCTCCGAGAGGGCGATCTTGTGAAATTCGCGTATGCATGGGTTACGGAGCTCGCTCCGATCACGCATGCGGCTATTAGCATAATCGAGAAAACCAGTTTGCGCAAGGACGCGTTCTCTGGGCTTTTATATATTGGCTTAACGCGCTTCGCAGCCTCGGCGGCTCTCTTGCTCTACTGGCACGCTCGATGCATCTTTAATGCTCGCCCGCTTTCTGTGCACTTCCCTATCTCTCCGCTTCCCGTATCCGCGTGTGCATGTGCTCGCTTTCGCGGGACGCCGCGAGCCGCCTGCATCAGCTGAGCGCACGCTCTGTCGCGGTTCGAACTGCGAGAGCACAGCAACAATCAGCTCCTGATTTCTCCGTTCTTCGAGGCTGATAAATTGCAACGGCGACTGCGAACCCTCGGCTCGATCAACATTCTCTGTCGATGCTGAAAGTTGATTGTTTTATTACGATTACTTGCGCACAGTCAACCCACAAGGATACGTCGGCTCGCGAGCAGCATTTTCATATCTCGATCGAGCGCAAGCGAGAAAGAGAGTAAGCCTCGTCAAGAGCAAATGCTGAACGGCGATATACAATGCTGTAAGGTTGCAAAACGCGCGCGCGCCTCAAACTCGTTTCTCTCTACTTGCCTCTGGCGCGCACAGGGTATCGCCAAATTGAGTTTAA